GATAAATAATACTAAAAAGTATATTATAAATATAGATTTTTTATTCTTTAATAAAGTATAAGAATATAATAAATATAATCTGGAAGTTGAGAATATATAAAAGATTCTATTACAAATTGAAACTTGTTATATTTAGTAAAGGATCGATAAAAATAACAAAGAAATATTAAATCGAAATTATTATCAAGATTTCCAAATAGAATCAATAGAATTATTATTTATTATATCCTATCGATTATTGAATATAAATAAATATTAATATAAATAACTGAATCTTTTTATTAAAGAACAAATTATCGAATCATTATCGTTAAAACTAAATAGTATTATAAGGATCGAATAATTGATTATAAAAATCAAACTAAAAAATCAATAAATAAATATTTTAATTGATTTCGAAACTATAAATATATTTATAAATCTTAACTTTATTAAAGAAAATAGAATTCTTATAGAATTAAAATAAAATCTTTATCAATTGATATTATTAAAAAAAAAGAAAATTAAAATTGACAATTGAATATATAAAGAAATTAATATTATCAAGATAATTATATTAAATAGATATACCAAACAAATCAAAATGAATTTAATATTATTGAATAAATATACAATTGTCCTTGATACTTTATAAATTAAAAAACACAATCCAAATATCGATTGAGTAAAAGATACTTTAATATTCGATTGTTGCAATTACAATAACGAATAATTATATAATCCAAAAGAACAGATTTTCGAAAAGACTAGATATTATATTATAACAACAATAGATTCTTCATTGATCGATAAAATCAATAAAAAAGAAATTCCAATATAATACAAAAGATTCATCAAACTCTTTAAAGATCTATAAGATTTGAAAGCTTTATTAGAATATAAATCTTGGAATTATAAAATCAATTTCAAAAAAGGATTTATACTTTTTATTAAAAAGTTGAGATTATATAATCTTAATATTATATAGATATAAAAAGAATACAAGATTAAAACTGAAAAGAAAAGATAAATTAGAAAATCCAAATCCCTTTGTATATTCAATATATTATTGATATTCAAGAAAAATAATCCAAATAATCGATTTTGTAAAGATTATTGTTAGATTAATAATAGAACAATCAGAGATATATATCCAATATCAAAAGTTTAAGAGTTCAAGAATAAATTGAATAAAATAATAATCTATATAAAATTAAATCAAAAGAATACTTTCAATTTGATACAAATAAAAAAGAATTATAAATAGAAAATAACTTTTATTCTATCATTAGATTTATAAGAATATATAATTATACTATTCAGATTAATCAATATATTAATTATATATCAACAATAGAACAATAAAATACTCAAAAAGTTCAATTCATTTGTAATTTATTATTTAAATAATATTCTAATCTTCTTTCAAAAAGAAAAGAAATACAAAGAATATATATTGAAAATACTCGAAGCATTCAAAAGAATGAATTCAAAATTCAAACTATCGAAATACAAATTTGAAATATAAAAAATAACATTCCTAAAATATATCATTCAATTAGAACAAATAAATATAAATCTTGAGAAAACAAAGAAAATAAGAAATTAAGAAAAATCCAGGAATATCAAGGATATACAATCTATATTAAAATTCATCAATTTCTATTGAATATTTATAAAAGACTTCTCGAAAATAATGAAATCCTTTATCGAAATAATCAAAAAGGAAATAACTTTTATATAAAATAAAAAAATAAAATAAACTTTTCAAAAAATCAAAAACAGATTTATAAGGGAATCTATTCTTTACAATTATTATAATAATCGAAAAAGTATTATCGAAACAAATATTTTTAATACTTATATAATAAAAATCTATTTATAAAAAAATGATAATAAGAAACTATATTTTATTATTTATTATTCAAATAAGATAAACAAAACAAAATAGAATTATAATATTTATAAAAAAGAATTTATAACTATTATAAAAATATTGAAATATTAAAGGATCTATCTTCAAAGGATTAAATTCCCAATAATCATTTATATTAATTATATAAATCTTCAAACCTTTACTACTATTAAGATCTTGAATAATTATAGATTAATTAAATAGATTAAAGAATTAATAAGATTTAACCTAATAATTAAATATATCAAAAAAAAAAAACAATATAAAAACAAATACTTTAAATAAACTATTAGATTACAAAAATAATAAAATTTATCAGGAAATAATAATTTTGAAATCTTTACCAAATAAAGATTTTATTTTTAATCTAACAAAAATTATTATTATGGAAAATAAATTAATAAAGATTTAAAAGAATAAACTTATAAAAATATAACAAAATAAAAAAGATATCAAATAATTAAAACTATCAATAATTATTAAAAAATTGCTTCGAATAAAGAACAAAATATAATTATCAAATAATATTATTTTTAAATATATTATAAAACAATATACATTATCAATTTATAAATATCAAGAAATACAAAGAATATATTTAAAAATCAAAAAGCAATATTAAAGTCTAAGATTTTATAATATAATCAATAAAATAATTATTAAGTATAATATTTATATTAAAAATAAAACTTTTTATTATATTCCCTATAATCAAATAAACACTATCAAGATATCATCTATATTATAAAAATCAATATTATAGGATTTTATAAATCCATTACCAAAATTTAAAAATCCAATAATAAAAATAATATATAATTACCTTTTTATTATAATAAATAAATTAACAAAGTATTTAATATTTATATTATATCAAACAATATTAATTATAGAAATACTAATCTTTATATTTCTAAAAAAAATTATAAAAATATATAGATTATTAAAGGAAATACTTTTTAATAAAAATAAACTCTTTATATCGAAATTTTGGATTATTCTAATAATATTATTAAAAATAAAAAGAAAAATATTTATTATATTTTATTTACAAATTAATAAAAAAAACAAAAAAGTAAATCAAATTATTGAAGTTTATCTTCAATATTATATAAATTATTAATAAAATAATTAAATAGAACTTTTATTTTTAATACAATTTATATATAATAATTCAATATCAGAAACAATATAAATCACTTCGAATTATATTAACTATAAATATAAACTAATTATATATTACAAATCAAAGATTACAAAGATAAAGAATCAATCTGCAATAATATAAACAAAAAGATTCAAAAAAGTTTATAAAGAAATAATAACAAAATTGAAATTTATTATCGAAAGAAATATATATTATTATAATTGGAAATATAATCAAAAACCAATATTAAAAGAAAAAAATAAAGTCTATTTATTTCGAAAAAATATTGAAACAAAAAGATTTAATACAAAATTGAATTACAAAAAACTCGGATTATTCAAAATCAAGAAAATTAAAAAACCTTTGAATTATAAATTAATATTATCAAAAAGTATAAATATATATCCAGTATTTTATATATCCCTATTCGAATTAATATTTCCAAAAACATCTAAAACTTTTGAAATAGAAATTATATCTATAAATCAAAATATTAAATACAAAATGAAAAAGATATTAGATTATAAATATATTAAAAACAAGATCAAGTATTTGATGAAATGAAAAGATTATTTCGATTTCGAAAATATATAGGAATTTGAAAAAGAAATTAAATATTTGAAGAAGTATTAAGAATTTCGTCAATAGAATCTAGATTTACTCAAAAAGAAAAAGAATTCATTATTTTCTACAAAAAAGAATTAAAAGAATCGAATTCGTTTATAGGAATTTTATTGGAATTGATAAAATCAATTAATAATTGATCAAATTGATCAAGGGTTAATTGATCAAATTAATTAAATTGATCAAATTAATCAAATTAATCAAAAGAATCGGAATTAATAATGAATATTGAAGATATAACAATTTCCTTTTTTTCTTTTCTTTTTTTCTTTTCCAAAGTATTCAATTCATTAAAATATTTGAGATTTTGTTTAATCATCTTTCTATAATAATTCTATAAATAATTTTATTGTTTTCGAAAACAAAGAATTTTAGTTATAATCTTTTTTTCTTTTTTATAAAATTTTTCTTTTTGTTTATTTAAGAATTTTTAATCATTTATTCAAGAAATTTCCTTATTTCAATTATCTTTCAAATATTGTTTTGTATTATAAAGAATACAAGATTATATATATTCGGAATAACAAATCTTTTACAAATTATTCAGAATTTTTATACAACAAAAATCCTTTATATAACAATAAATATATAGAATTATCTCGATATTAGAATTCTCGATTTCAATTATAAAATAAAACTTCTTTTTATTCTTTCAACGAATTTTGTTAAATTGTAAATCATTTATAATAAGAAAAAAGATCAAAATATAAAATAATAAAAAACTAATAGATTATATATTAATTATAAACAATCAAGAATAATATTTAATTAAAAAAAAGATAATATTATAAAATTATTTTATAAAGTATTATAAAGTAATAATCAATTTGTCTTTATAAATTTTAATCTTATTAAAAAGCAAAGCAATTTGTATATAAATTTGTATAATAATCGTTTTATATAATCTTTCTATCTTCAATAAGTTTGGATATATAATCTGATCCTAATCATATAATGAAGTCTTTAAAAGTATAGGTTCTTATAAGCTCCTTAAAGCTTTCAGGAATATAGACTTTTAGAGACTCTCAAAATAAATTAATATATAATCAGAATAATTTCATAATTTAGAAGTTTTGTACTCAATTTAGTTATCAATTAATTTATCTATATTCCAATTGATCTAGTAATATATTCACCTTCGAATAAATAATCAGTAATTATTAATCTTAATCTACAATTACCAACCATACGAAAACCTGAGGTAGCCGCTGCCTCGACCAGATCGTTACACTTGATTGATGATAAACTATTCGAGATTTCATGAAAGTTGATTAAAAAAAAACTTCAATTGGATTGTAAAGAGTTTGAGAGATTCAAAGGTTTAAATCGAAAAAGGGGAAAGTAGGTATATAAATTCGAATATCTAATTTTGAGAGTATAGTTTGAAGGTCAAATAGTATTAGACCTATTCTTCGAAAATCAGCTTTCATATTCTGAGAGGTGATTGATTGTTGATATACAGCTTTGAAAGCTATAAAGAATTCAACTTTAATGATATGATTGATATGTGCCTTGATAAACTCCTCAATTTATAATTGCCGTAGCCCACTCTCGATTGCCTGGTTGTATTACCTTGCTTCTGCCATTTCGTTCAGCATTAGTTACAACCATTCCAAGGTATATTATACCCATCATAAAGCCAGTTTCATCGAAGTTGTAGAAATCGGAATCAACAATATTATATTTCATCCACATATTCGATACCAATCGAAACCACTCTTCAATAAGCTTAGAATCTTCACAAAGAGCTCTTTGAAAATCATAAATATAACTAAAATATATCTTTAATTTTATATTGTAAAAGTGATAGGTCGAGATACATGCATCCCGATAGTATACTGTGAGAAGGGAATTGAAAGAGAAAGCTGAATTAGATTATATTGTAATATATCATTTATAAATAAAACAGAGTTTACAATAGTTTTAAAGTTGATATTATATAGATTCAAATGTATATATGTAGAAGGTTGATTCTTATAAAAAGAAGAGATAAAATGCTCTTCTTTTATATCTAATTACAAAAGATCATATGATTGACTAGTTAAAAACCTTTATATATTTGACTTATAATTCCAACTTTCTTACAATATAACACTTTACAAATCGATAAGCCCAAAGCTTTTCAACCTTCTTCGCCCTTTACAATTCAAGAATATAATTCGTTATATCTTCTATATTATTTAATTTAGATATAAATCCTTTCTCATTTATATCAATTATATACTAAATAAACACCTCCTTTTCTAAATCAATTATTTTATAACTATTTACTTGAATTTCTATATAAAGAATTAAATTATTTATTTTATAAAGAAATATTATATATATTATATTATATAGCTTAATAGCCTTTCAAATGCTTAGTTTTTTATCTTTTTGAATAGCTTCGATAACTAAGAGTATTTGAGTTTTTTTTCTATTTGATTATATAATAAATGATTGATAAATCGTATATTGAAGTTGGAAAGTGCAAATTGAGATAAAAGTGATACATTCGATGATATAATACACTCGGTGTTAAACTATATTAACTCTTTTCTTTTTTTATTTTTGTTTTTAAGGTTTTCTTTAATATCTATTTTATTATTTTGTTTTTGAAAGTTCTTTTTTAATTTTACTCTTTCAATAGATAATATTGATTTTTATAAGATTTGTAATATAAAAGTAGTTAATTTTGATAATTTTTCTAATTTATTTTATTTCTATTGTTTTTATTTGTTTAGAAAATCAATTATATAATCTAATTATTTTCTTTGATTAAAAGATTGTATTGATATTAGTTAATTGTTCCTTTTTATATATAAAACTATTGATAAATATATCTTTGATGATATCGATATTCAAGATATTAATTTTTGAAGATCCTTAGTTGTTTGGTGGTCTTGTATCATTTTATCGAAACTTGATATTGCTATATATTCTGAATTGTATTATAATTTATTCTTTCTTAGAATAAAGTTTATCTTTAAAAATCAAAGATATATTAGAATTTCTTTTTGATTCAAATTTGAAGATTCTATAATCATTGTAATAATACAATCTATTCTGAATATCTTTATATATAACAGAATAGTTTTATTTAATATTATACTTATCATTATAAAGAACTTATTTAAAATAATAAAAATAATATTAATTTCTTTTATTAATAGTATTTATATTTATATAAATAAAGTTATAATTCTTTTGAATCGAGAATTCATTGTATTTGATATTTTCTCCTTTTTAAAGTGTTTGTTGTTAAGATAAGGTATTAATATTCCTTGTACTTGTAATATTTTTGATTTGAATTTATATATAATTCATATTTAATTTATTTAAGAATTTTATTATCTTATTTATTAATTTGTTTTCAATTCTCTTCTAAGTATCAAAATTTGAATCAGTTTTTTTTTAAAAATGATATCTTTATATATTCCTTTACAATAAATACAATTATAATCTGATATTTTTTAAACTTCTTATAAATCCTAACGATAGAATTTTTTGATATATATCACTTGAAAACCTTATTTATTATTTTCTTATAATTTATAATAATAGAGTTATCAAGATCAACTTTAAAGTTTTTTATAACCTTTTTATCAATTTGTATATATAAACTATATAAGAAAAGTCTTCCTGTTTCAAATTCGATGATTATTTTATTTTCAATAAGTTGATTTATAGAAAAAGTGAATTTGATAACATGATCCTTAATCAAGATTAGATTTACATTATAAGATGTCTTATATTTTAATTGTTAAATATCAATAAATTGATTTAAAAAATCATAAATACTAATAATTTGTTGAGTATCGAAATCGTAGAAGTATTGAAAAAAAACTGAATGGAATCTCTTTTTCTAATTATAATTAATAAGATTATATTTCAATATAAACTTGATTTGAATCGAAATAGTTTTATTACAATACTAAGAAAAACAAATTTGTATTTTGTTATTAGATATATTATAATCAATTTATAAAATCTTTTATATCATAAAGAAATCAAAGATATTATTCTTATCAGAAGTAAAGACATTGAAGCTTTTAATATAAGATATAATAAGATATATATATATATATAATCTATAATATTTCGATTTGATATATAGATTTCTATTAATTGATTTATATTATCATCGTTTTTGGTTTTCTTGATTTTTTTTTTATTTAAATTATTTTCATCTCTTTTAATATAATCTCCTTTTTAATCGATAAAAGATTTTTTGTTAAAATTATAAAAAATAAATATTTCCGAAGACTTTTAAAGAATATCTTTTAAATAAATTTTAGATTGGTTAGAGTTTTTAATAATAATCTGATAATAATAAATTTCAAATAATAATAAATTTGTTTTATATAAATATTAAATCGAAAAAGATATATCAAATATATTTAAATCTGAATTAATCTTAGATTTATAATAATCTTTTTTACTCATATTTTTCTTTTTATAAAATTTTGAAAAACTAAAAGAGATTTAAATAATTCCTTTAAAAGTATCCTTTCTTGTAAAAAGATTATACAAATCCTAAATCCTTCAATTAAAAGTTTTTTAAGATATATACTAAAATTTTGAATATTGATATTAGGAATAATAATTCTGTATATTATAATCTAATCTTTCTAAATATTATCTTATAAATGATTATCAAAATACTTTATTTAATTATATAATATATAAGATCCTTCAATTTAATTAATTATACTTTATTAAACTTATTTCAAAATCAGATTTTCTTTGTTATCAAAGTTATAAGAATTCTGGAATCTACTCACCGCACACCATTTAAATTCGTGACAAAATCCCTGCAAAACTCATATTTTCCTATATAAAATAAAATATCAAATAACTTTTTCAATATTGAATTGAATCAAATGAAATTTTCAAATATTATAATTAACTACAAAAGGATATTGAAAAGATTTACAATTTATTTTTAATTATTTTTGTTTGAAAGTTATATCTATTTAAATTTAAAAAATGTTAAAATTTCATTTGTGTAACGCTTTTTTGAACTTTTCCCTATATAAAATAAGCGATTTTTTAAACTTTTTGTTTTTCAATCTTAAATATATATAACTTTAAAACAAAAATAATAAAAATATTTTGTTAAATTTTATTATATTTGAATGAATTATCTATATATTTATCAATTTTCATTTATTTATTTTATTATTTTATAAAGATAACAAGGGTTTAAAAGTTGAAAAATCGTTGATTTTGGTGTGATTTCGCTTAGTGTGCGGTGAGTAGATTCCAGAACTCTTACAATTTCTTTGTGAACTGTTAAAATCTAACTTGAATAGAATTTTGTCAATATAAACCTTCTATATAAAATATAAATAAATCAATCAATAATAAATCATTTATTTATAGTATAATAAATTAACAAAAATAAAGATAATTGGAAATCCAAATCTTTTTTATTTTTTATTTGGTATTTCTACTTTTGAAAAGTTTATTCTTTTAAAATCTATTTTATCTTTTAATAATAAATAACTAATTCTACTTTCTTTTTTAATATAATATCCTTACAAATTGGTTTTATATATTTTGTAAACGATATAATTTGATTTCTTTATATAGATCATTATTATAAAAATGACAGGTCGAGATATATATATTCTAATAGTATATTATAAAAATAGAATTGAAAGAGAAAGCTGAATTAGATTATGTTATAATATATCACTTATAAAGAAAACAAAATTCATAATAGTTTTGAAATTGATATTATATAGACTCAAATATATATATATATAAAAGATTGATTATAATAAAAATAAATGATAAAAGCTTTCCTTTTATATTTAATTATAAAAGGTTATATGATTGGCTGATTAAAAACTTTTATATATTTAATTTTTAATCTCAACTTTTTTGTAATATTTAATTGAATTGTTTTTGAACTTTGAAGTTTTTAAATTTGATTAATATAATCAATATTTTTTCTTTTATATATTATTCTTTATATTGAATCTTTAATACATTATCAAATTTCTTCAAAATGATAATAAAAAACTTAACTCTTTTTTATTTCTTATATATAAATTGAAAAGCAATAAAAATAATAATATATAAATTGAATTATTTTGATTTTGAAAAAGAAAGAGATTTATAAATTGATAATAGTAATATAATCAATCGAATAGAAAATGTTTTGAGTTCTTTAAAGATTATAATTTTCTCTTCGAGAATAATTTATAATGATAAAGATTATTCTTGTAGGGTATCAATCTTATTCGAACGATTCAATTGTTTATCTCTTCAAATCCAATACTCTTCAAATTGATGATCTTATTATTTAGTATTTTATTGAATAAATCAATGAATCTTTTATTTTTAAAGAAATAATTAAAGAAAAAAAATTGGATTAGAATAAAATATAATATAAGATCGTTTTATAAACTATTCAAAACATTAATAAAAACAATCTAATTTCATTCAAATATTTATTAAATAAAGTTTATCTAAAATAATATTATTAATATTTAATTTTATAATAAAAAAAGATATAAATAATTGTTTATAATTATTGATTATTAAATTAAAGAATATATAATATATAATAATATAATTTTATATATTATTATATTTTTTGATTTCGATTGAAATTTAAAAAGATATAGTTTTATATTTAAATATAGAAAATAAACAAATAAGAAATATATTATTAATAAAAATAAATTTATTTGTTTTTGAATCAATAAGAACTTTTGATTTATAAATATATTTATTTTTAGAAAAAATATATAGAAAAATAAATACTTTTTCTTTTATTAGTTTTATTAAATCAAAAAATCTTATATTTTATATAATATTTAAAATAAAAACAAAATCTAAATATTTTATTTTAAATATACTTTCTTTATTCATTTAATTTATTTTATAATTTCAAGATCTAGATTGTTATTAATATTATAATATTCTTTTTCTTTTTCGATAATTTCTATTTAATTAAAGTTTTTAAGATAAGAGGTTTATATATATTTTGTTTCAAAAAAGAACAAAAGTTTAAATGATTCAGATAATTATTAATTGTAAATATTGATTAGAAAAGGTTTGTATAATTAATAAATAGATTTCGAAATAAAAATGGTTTTGAGAATATTGAATTTCTGAAAATAGAGTTGTTAAAATTTTGAAGAAATGATTATATAATAATATTATTAAGAATAGATTTGTAGATAAATATAAAGACTTTATATTCTAAATGATATTAACTTTATTCTTATAAAGAAACTTCTAATTTATTTATTTTGATAAGTTGATTTATAAGTTGATTTATAGTTTAATAATCCTTATAATATAGAATTATAATTTGTAAAAGAAAATCGAAGATCTTTTGTTCGAAATCTTTAAATAAAGTTTTATCATTTATAATTTTTATTTGAGTAATCAATAATTAAAACTTTTTATATTATTTTAGAAAGTTTCTATAACGAAGTTTATTAAGTATAATTTATAATTTGTATTGAGTATAGATATAATTGATTTCAATCAGGTTTTAGTAAAACATAGTGAGTTATTCAATTAATTCAAGAGTAATGAATCGGGGTATTTGGATATAAAGAATATAGTAATATATTTATATTTTCGATTTTGTTTGATCGATTATATATATATATTGTTATATTTCGTTGATCAATAATATAATATATAATTAAAATTGTTTTTAAATTAATAATTACTATAAACTAATTTTGAATTTGATATTATTATTTAATTTTATAATCAGATTAATAGGTTTTGGAATATAAGAATTTCGATTCAAATGATTAATAGTATATAAATACAATCTGAATTGATTAAATTAGTTTTGTAAAGAATAGAGATCTTAGTTTTTATATAAATCCTCATTTCCGAAAATAGAAGGAGTATTATCTAAAGGATCTGATTTATTATATTGAATATTCAATTGATTCTTCCTTTGACTTTAAGATTATATAATTTGTTTGGGTAAGACTTTGTTATGTTCAATTGAAGAAATGAGGGAAATCTTAAATATTATTGTTGATCTGAATATTCATATAAATATCATTCGAGATTTGAAAAAAGATTATATTATTATAAAGCTTGTTATTATTATAGTTTTCAATTGATTTTCTTCCTTTTAGTCTTATAAAGATTATTATAAATTCAAAATTATAAAATACAAATCTTATAATTATAATAAAGGATTATAATCATTGATTGAAGTATTAAAAATTTTGATTATTTATATTTATATTTTTTCTTTATTAATCTTTTTTTTATCAATAATAATATTTTCTAATTTTATATCTTTTATATTTTCTTTGAAAATTGATTAAGCTGATGAAAAAGATAAAAGAGATTCTTTAATATAAATTTGTAAAGATTATTCAGATTATATAAGAAATAAAATTTGATATATAATGAAGATATTAATATACTTTCAAAAAAGGTTTTATTTTTATTGATTAGATTAAAATAAATCTTTTTCTTTTGAATAAAATACTTAAAAAGATTCATTTAAAAAAGTATTATTGAATTGAGATATTATTTAAAAAATTATAAATAATATAATATATAATAATTGTATAAAAGTTGAATAAATAAGATTAATTATATTTTTTAAAATCTATAATTGAAGAATTATAATTTGTAAGAAGTATTTATATATTGTGAGAAAGTTGGAATTATAAACCAAATACATCGAGGTTTTTAACTAGTTAATTATATAATCTCTTATAATTAGATATAAAAGAAGAATTTTTATTTTTTATTTTTATAATAATCAATCTTCTATATATATATATTTTGAATCTATATAATATCAATCTTAAAACTATTATAAACTTTATTTTCTTTATAAGTGATATATTATAATATAATCTAATTCAACTTTCTCTTTCAATTCTCTTCTTATAGTATACTATCAGGGTATATATATCTCAACCTATTACTTTTATAATATATATATAAAATATCTATATGATAATTATATAATGATACAAATTGATTATTAAAATGATTATAATTCTATACTAAAAAGAATAAATTGAAACCTAAGTGTATAGATTATCAGCTCATTGATAGGAATTGTCAATCGATTAGAGTCACGTGATCGTCCCTATACGAGGTCCGTAATAGAAATTCTGTATGTTTTTTTTATTCTATTCTCTTATAAATCAATCTGATATAAATTATAATTAAATTTTTATATAATAATAAAATTTTATAATATATAAGAATTTTGTTAATATATCACGTGATTATACGATCATTGCTTCGGCTAATATTATTAAGTGATTTAATAATTTATTAAAGAATCTTATACTTTTGATTTATTATTTAAAAATAATCAATTCTTCACAATATGATTTTTATAATTAAAATTTTAAATAATATATAATGAATAAATCTGAAATTTTTTATAATTCAAAGAGTTTTTTATATATTTATATAAAATTATAAAAATTCCTCAGTTTATTTTATATATAATTTGACCAAAATATAATCCTTTGAATTAATTTGATCTTTTTTTATATAAAATTTATATAAAAAAATTTGTAAATCTTGATTTTATAATTTTTATATAAAAAACAAATTTAAAAAAGAAATAATACGAAAGTAAAATATTAAATCTATAGACTTTTATATATAATATTTATTATTTATTAATATTAATATCAAATAATAATAAACAATGAATAATTTTATATTTTCACATTACAAATAACTCAATAACTCAACAACTATTAATATATCTATTCACAATCACAATTACAATAATAACATCAATCAAATAAAACTCTTATTTAAAAAATCCTAACTTATAAATACCGCTTTTAATTCCAAACATATATTATCTCTCGAAAATCTTATACCCGATTGGCTACCTATATATATGCCTAACCTCAACGCCATGCCAGCTTAAAAACATGAAATAAAAATGCAGTTCCAGAGAAAAGTATGAAGCAAATAAAAGAAAGAAAGAAAAGCTGGAAGAAATATCTATCCACGCAAAATCGCAAAGCTTAAGCAGCAACTTGCTCTTGAATAGTCGAAGGACGGTTTTCCTTCAACTCGGAGAAAGATTCTGGCCATAAGAACATTTTTTCTTCTTTTGTTGGGGTAGCTGCCACGTATGAAGGAACCTTGAAACAGAGTATAATATTAGTATCAAGAAGTTGAAAGATGAAGATGAAATATCGAGCAGGAAAACTTACAGCATTCTTACTGGAGACTCTTCTCCACAAATTAGCCCTCGGGTTAAACCTAACAGGTTTTCCTACACCACCCGTCTTCAATTGATCCTCCTCAGCAATCTTCTGTACCTCCTTTTGAATATCCGCAAAAGTATCAAACGGAATATACGGAATACGATGCTCCAAACAATATTCCTCTAATCGCAATCCCCTCCGCGCAAACAACACATCAGCCTGTCTCGCAGCTGGGAGATCCGATACACCATCCCCGATAAAGACAATGAGAGGGATTGTTCCATCTTCGCATTCCAACTGAGCATGTTCTCTAGCCTCGGTAATCGATAATGCTTTATCATGACCGAGCTCAGTATCATGTCTCCAAACAGGTTTCCACTGACTTCCATCCTCGCTAATCTCAGCCTCATTCGCTACGATTTGAATGCGTTTACTTTCTTCCGCTCCGAGAAATTTATCAAGAACTCTTCTCAAAACGGGTTTTAATCCCGCGCTGATGACGTTGAATGGGATATTGTTATCGATGCAATAGCGATGGAAGTTTTGGAAATCAGGATCGATCTCGAGGGATTTTTCCATGATGGCGAACCCATCTTCGAAGGGGACGCGGAGGGATCCCCACATCTCTTCCGAGACATCGCGGAAGGATCGTTCGCCCGTTTTGATTTGTTCGTCGAGGATTAGACGACGTTCTTCTCCGCAGCCGTGGGCGTCGAAGAGGACGTGTCCGGTATCTTGCATGAAGATTGTGCCATCGAAATCTGGGTGATTACGTTAGTTAGTTTGTTTATTTCTTACTCTGGTATATATATATATATATATATATATATACATGTATAAATGGACATCATGGGAAAAGTAGAGGCGAAGAGGCAAATAAAAAAACACATACCCGAGAAACAAATAATCTTCCTCTTACACTTCAACATTTCTGGATCTTGCGTACGAGAATAACTTGTTTTCTTAACAGCCAAATCTTGGGTACTAAGTGATGGTGGTGGTGTAACTGCAGAAGGCATTATGAAAAGATTTGGAAGAAGAAGAAGAATAAGTAGGTATCGAAAACACTAGTGAGATAGATATTCTAACTAGAAATGGAAGGGGCGAGATGGAATTTTCGATCAGGTATGAAATCGATGAGTAGTGAGGAAATAATGGGTATCAAAACTGGGTTTGGGGGTGGAAGAAGGCGGAGAGCGGGATACGCTGATTATATATATATGGGTCTTTTGAATCCTGGAGTTGGAAGTTTAAACGCCGATGATGAGATTTAAGATTGTGGATAAGGTATTGTTGGTTGGTATTGTAGGAAGGATGCTTAGAAGATTTATAGGAATGAATATATGTAAGAATGTATAGCAAAAGAGAAATTAAATCATCAGGAAAAGGAGAGGGCGCTTCCAGATTTTTATATTCATCAACTACTGTATCAGATCCGGAGACTTCTTGATCCTCATTTCCATGCAGTGTCTGCCTATTCCCCAACTCTCAAACAAGCCAACTCTCAATCCCCATCTTGAAAAGAGAGGGAAAGAATAATGACTCCATACTACATGATGCAAATGCAAATGCAAACGCATCTCACCAGGTGAACCCGTGCATCACATTCTCACGATAAGTCAAAAAACACACGCACGCACAGCAAAACCTCGAATCTAGCCTAAGCTTGGCAAACCATCCCACCAATAACACGAAATACCTCTCAACTTTTAGCCTCAAAAAATCCCAATATCGATGTCCAGACACAAAATCGATCTTGTTCTCTTGTAAGGATAGCCACATCTTGTTTATAGTGGGGCATGTATGAAAGAGGGGCAGTGCACGAACAAGTTTATTGGTGGGGATAGATGGAGTAGATCGATCAATCATGATAATTTATGGAGGGAGATACTTGTATGGAGGAATAAGAAGGAACGGGAGAAGATTGATGAAGATACATAGATAGATAGATACTTACGGAAGGAACTAGAGATTTTCCATGTGAAAATTTCATTTTTGTGCTTGATTCTGATTGGATACATATCAGATCCATTATCCTGGAACCTTTCACGATACCGATTTATTGGTTATCAGACAAATACAATAGGTAAGTTACCCCTAGTAATTTATTTTCACAGCTGGGCTGGCTCTCGCTCAGCAAGAAACAAGAAGAGAGAAAAAACGCACAATGACATCATGAACTCTCGATTTCGCTAATACTTCGAGGGAAGGAAGCTTATGTATGTATGTATGTATCTTACCCCTGCACACCACCAGCACAACAACCGAAACAATGAACAATGGGATGCAGCATGTAAAAGCAAAAAATCTCGATTCTTTTCATGTAGTCTTACGGGTGTGTATACGAGTGAATGTAAGTAACGATGCAATAATCCAGTCGGAGGACTCCGAATACTATCAAGGGAGCTGAAGTCTTCCACGTATTGAGTCAATTTTGGTTGTATATACTCCGTTTGTAAGTATCTTTAGACGTAAAAATCCTATAGGCTAATCTATGGATTTTACTCGAGTACGTACAGCCACGATGCAAGCGCTGCCTTGCTTGCTTACCTGCTTACTCTGTCTCTGTACCGAAATCCAACACTTTCTTCCTCAACCTGACGCAGGCGGCTGGAATACACATAAGATACGGTATCATGTACATACGGAATACACGTTTTTGAATAATTGGTTCATTGGTTAATCGATTAATTAATTAATCTGATGATTTATGAGTAAAAGATCCTTCCTATCTACCTACCTACCTACCAGCAGAGCACGAGTAAATAATACTCCGTATTTCATTCACAGCGTCATTTTGCATTTTGCATTCTGCATCTCATCCTATCTCGTTTACTCTATCTGTACTCTGTACACTCTCTCAACTTTAAGATTCTAAAAATCACATGTCTTAATACTTATGATTCTCACTACTATGCACTCCATCAATGCACTCCGTCTATGCACTCCGTAGTATCATCAATCAACCCATACAAACCCCACACACAGCCTAAAGTTTTTTGAAACTTCAATACGGAGTACTGTATTTTCCAAAAGGAACGATGACCTATCGTGATGTCACAATGCAGATTTTCTGATTTTCTGAGTGAGACTTACTAGTAAGACGGTTGAGATGCGATGATTATGTAAACAGACAGGTACTCCGTATAGAAATTTGTGGTGAGATGGTGAAGATGTGCTCAGGAAAGTAAGTGGATCTTGCGTGTTTGTCAAGGTGTCTGAATCAAGAAGTCTAGATGTCTTTTTTGTTATGTCCGGCCACCAGGCTAACCTACCTAGTAAATAAATCATAAAGAGATGGCGAAATTTCAATGGTATTTTAATGTTCTTCATTTCTCTATTTTCTCCGTGTACCATTTTAATTTGTCTTTCTGAAACTGCTAGTCTCATTGGAAAGAATAGTATATCCATCAAATGCACTCGATCATATCGAGTTGATATGCTCTCTCGCATTAATTTCTCAACACTCAATAAACAAGAGACTCTTCTCCTAATCCCTCGCTAAACAACCATATAAATTTCCCCAACGCCCTAAAAGATTTTCGTTTCTGTTAAAGGATATTTATTATACGGCTGCGACCTTTGCAGAGTACTTTGTAGCTGCTTTATCGAACAGTGAACTCTTTTCCTCCAAATCTTTGAGGAATGTATGTTCTGGTGAGGTACTTTTTAACGAACTAGATGATGGTTTGTTAGAAAAAGTGAGATTGCCATGTTGAACAAGTATTTGCTGAATGTTGAAATCACTACTCCAACCATTCTCTAAAATAGTACTTCTAAAAGTTCAAGGACACTTCGAACTTTCGCATTCCACCAATTCATTGAAATAAGAACGGCACTTGCGAGGAAAACAAACATACCTAAACAAATCATTGGAATCCTTTCCTGAGATAGTGTTCAGAACGACCTTGTTCGTGAGAACTTCGGCATTTTCTGGGTCCTTGCTGAAAGCTTGTTCTAACGCTGCTTCAGCTTCCTCCAATCTTCCTAGATGTATTTCCGCGATAGCTTGTGCGACAAGACTTCGAGTCGACGATGTTGATGGAGCTTGTGCGAGTTCTTCGAAAACATAAAACGCTTGTTGGTATTTCTCACCGCCCTGGATAATATTAGTCAAATGATATTTGTAGATGGGACTCGACAGAACCTACAACTCGAAGTCCCACCCAAGACTCAGCCAAATTAACTAGCAGACTATCTTGAGCCCATCTCCTAGCTTGTTGAACCTCCTTGATAGCTAAATTGGTACGGTTTTGTTCCAACTGGATTTGAACAATGAGAGCCACAGCCTCAACTATTCCCATGGTTAGTTTTCGTCCGATGCTATAAAATGATCCAAGGATAGATAGCTTACGGTTACCCTGGTGCAATGCCAACAATTGTAAAGCTTCCTCACTCTTTCCTGCAGCTTGTAGCACTGTGCCGCCCAAAACCTGCACCGTCGCATTGTCGCTCGAGTCCTCCGCTAGCTTAGATATCATCTTGACAGCTTTCTCTTCATCCCCGGATGCATATACAGCCAAAGCTCCTACAGCCTTCAGCTCCGCATCATCTTCCCCTTGTACATCTGCGAGAACATCCTCAGCTTGTCCAAGTGCAACTTGAGCTCTTAGTGAAATAACGCGCGCTGGAAGTGCATTCTCCGGTGAAAGGGCACTGGTATCGAAATCAACGGCTTCTTGGTATTGACCTTGGTAAAAATAGTTGTGCAGGTTGAGGAGCTCACCCTCTGCTGAAAATGGATCCATGATTTTGTGATTGTGGTTTGGAGAATTAATGTGAAGATTGTGTGTATTGCGAAAGATACGTGTTGAATTGACTCGAACATGCCGGAACTTGCCGAGGCCCTTTGAAGCTAAAATTCCTGGGGTCGTGACACCAATTGGTTATTTGTTGTAGCGAAAACTAATTCCATGAAGACTTCCTGTTCCTATTGCTCCTTGCCATTTACTTAATCTCATATCATCACGACGTCCATATACCTTCGTTACCAATTTCAAAGATCGAAGTCCTCGGGCTTTTGCTTTCACATGGCCCGTTATTTTCTTATCTGTAGACTCTTCTTCGAACGGGTTTTTTGATTTGCTATCATCAATGTTATCATCTTCATCAGTTTGGAGCTGCAGTCTAACATTATCCCAAAATGCTCTGCTTTGAAGTTCTCCGCGGTAGTCGTCACAAGTTATTTGTTTACCAGGTCGGGCTGGTTTACTTGGTGGCATTCTCCGCACTTCCTCCCGTAATCTCGTCAGAAGTTCGTTTCCCTAGATCATGGATATTGAAGTTAGTCAGGCTTGCCCCAATATATCTGTCGCACAAAGGCAAATTGAAGCGAATGCACCAACCAGTTTTTCGTCGACATTCTCGTCGCTCTCTAGGCACCTCATCAATGGCCTAGTCATGAAGAAGTTCCGATACCTCTGTAGCGACTGTTCGTATGTATAATTCTGATTAGGGTATAAAGCATGTTGCTGAATATATTCATCACCCAAACCTTTCAAGGGAACTTCTCTGAATTTTTGCCTCGTTGCTTTGCTTCGTGCTTCAGTATTCTTCTTTACTGTCATGACTTTCAACAGCTTGAAGTCGGTAACGATGGGATGCAGCTTGGCCTTTATCCCTCTACGTTTGCAAAGCTCGAAAGTATATTTATTCTCATCGGTCGACATTTTTCATTCACAGAATATTGATGAAAAAAGGTAAGCTGATTTTAGACTTTATTAATCATACCTGATTGGCTCTACATTGATGACTGGCATAGAGCCCGATTCACATGTTGAATTCTAGAAGTATGATTCACACATGAATCTTTACAATAAACTTTCACAAGTTTGGAAATGGTCAGACTCTATCTTCTCGGTTTTCTGTTCGTTGCTCCGTACCTCTCCTCAAACCCCCAGCATATCGTCTAACAACTTTTGTATTCTCGGACACAGCTATTCGGATATCGAATCTTTTCCTGTTTGAGGCTACCCAGCAAGATGATAAACCCACTCATCCCAGAAATGACAAATCTTCCTACGGGGTGGGAAGCATTTCTTGATGATAATGATCGAGTTTATTTCCGTGGTCCCGACAAAGTCACGACTTATGTTCATCCTATGTTAGGTTTGATTCCGAAGCCTTGGCATCTGAAGGTCGATAGGTCTCTCCCAAATCCTTGTGAATATTATTACAACACCAATACAAAGGAAAGATCAAAGAAAAATCCACGTTTCGATGAAGACTTGATGAACTCCAAACTTCTCAGTGTCTCGAGAGTGGTTCGAGAATCCGCAACTTTAACCAAAAATTCCATAGGAACTCTCGAAAAGTCACGACACTCTCATATCAAGAATGCCGATATACGGGATCAGTATAAAATTGTGCATACTATCGACAGCGGCGACGGCGGGCTAGGCGGCATGAATGGTGGTGTGCACGTTGTGCGACTCAAGGCGACCGGCGCGCTCTATGTTGAGAAGAGATTTAAGAAAGATGCATTGCAAACTTGGAAAGGAAAGCGTGGAGTTGGGGTAGTCGAAATTCTCATTACTCATAGAGTGAAACATGGTGGTCTCGCAGGTTATATCAATGCTTTCATAGCCCCTGATATGGTACATCCAACGAGCGCATCCTTATACCTCGAGTTTTGCAATTTAGGATCTCTGGACGACCTCATAAAATGTTATGCTCAACGTTTGGGAACGAGAGACGAGGCACGCGTGCCTGAGCGCTTTGTTTGGCATGCTATTATTGGACTTTGCGATGCTCTTTCCTATCTTTGGGGTGGGAAGTCATTCATAACCAATGACAAGCATAGAGGTTCCGGACCAGAAAACGGCTGGAAACCGATTTTGCATCGCGATATGAAGCCTGATAATATTCTCATGCGGTCGAGATCGGAGAGTACTTCCAAGTATCCCTATCTGGTTATAAGTGATTTTGGTTTGGTCACTGATGATTATGAGCAGGGATCCGGAGCATGCGGGACATCCTCCTTCTGGGCTCCTGAGCTCCTATGGGATCCTCATGCAGTGACCAAGCGACAGCTTCAAAACTTTCCTCCAAACCAATACCATACTCACGAAAGCGATCTCTATTCACTTGGGGCATCTATATACAATCTTTGCAAGCCCACAAACGTGAGCATTCATGGAATACATTGGCAAGGAGCATTCTCACACTTTAACATCGAATCATTCCCAAACGATCCCACAAAGAGAGAGCTGTGGTTCCCGTCTCAAAAATGTCGCAAATCAGACTTGGACATTGGTACATTCTACTCGGATTATCTCAAAGAGACTATCAGGAAAATCACTGCTTGGAAACCCAGCCGAAGAGGTGCTGCTCATCAACTTGAAAACATACTTCTTCCTACTGTAAAAGCGGCTGGCTATGATGAAGAAGAATTCAGCTTGGGTGAGGCGCTTCCGGTATGGGCTATCAAGATGCACGACTACCATGCTAGATGAACCATATTAGCAGCAACGATAATATCAGTGGAATAGAAGATTTCTGTATTTCGCCGGCAAACTACACACTTTCGGAGTTTGGTGCATGGCTTTGGGCGTTATTATCATTGGCAGGTAAAATGTGGTGCTACCTGGAAATTATCCTCTATACGATGGTTTCTTTTCCCCTTCTATATCGAGGACCATGAGTCTTCGAGAACAAGAAAGCTAATACTAGTACAATGGAACTTTCGTTGTCTCTCAAGTCGATTTTCTCTGCACATTTCTGGATCGTTACACGAACCTGATGATGTTGCTGGTCAACAGCAAGCCACGCAGAACGTTCCACCAACCTAAAGATGTGAAATACCTAGTACAACAACAAAATATTGGACTGTTGCAGTGGACTAAGAGTAGAACATTGGTAGAACAGGGTGTTCTCCAAGGTATGGGCACCGCGAAGAGAAATACTGATAGATAGATAGCATTACTAATATATCTTACATTGAAAATAACCTTGTCATCAAATGATTGGCTCTTAATCGTCGTGCGTATGTTTGATTAGGTGAAATTTTCATGGGCAAGAAGTAAGAAAAATAAGACGTTTGATACTTAGATAACAGTAGATTATTAATTTAAACATTGTAATTTAACCTGATTTAATTAGATGTCACGTGCATGATTCACTTGCCCTTCCCTTGCCGCTTTTCAAATTTACCCAGAATTACCTAGTGCTCGGCAAAATTAAAGACCTTCAGCCTCGAAAAGAGCCTTGTCAGGCTACGAAGCCTTACACAATAACATCTTCCATCAATACTTCTCAAAATCTCTCAATCAATCATCCTGACTTTGAGATAATCAGAAAGTGCTTTGCTCCTAATCTATCGCCTGTTCCCGTATCTTTGACAGCAGTCGATATCGCATTGTGCGACGATCAGATGGAGCCTTCTAGCAAAAAACGACGTCTCGCACCCAAAGTTGCCGAGCAATCTACTCAAGAACAGGTGAACAATTCATCACAGTGCATCTGATATATCCTACTAACGGCCAATTCAGTCATCCCAAGGTAGATACGATTATAAAGCTATGCCGAATCTACAAGAGCCCGCACCTTCGAACGAGCGGAGTGACTTCGAGTCTTTCGCCCGTCACTTACAAGATGCAGCCATGCTTATCTATGCGCAAGCAAATCGATCTCCATACAAGGGTGTTACAGTACTTCTGTTGAGATGGGAGGAAGATTTGAGTGTCGAGCAAGATCTTTTGCTCTTGCAGAAGGTTTTCCAAGAACGCTTCAATTTTCATACAGAGTCCTGGAACATTCCTAGCGGCCCAAATCCTAACATTAAACTTGTGAAGCAACTTGCACATCATATTGAGTTGACTGCGCCTAATAATCTTTTAATTGTCTACTATGCAGGTTATGGGTTTGTGGGCTCGGATCATCAATTATATTGGGCCTGGTAAGATTTAGAGCTTATCGAGCCTTGTGACTTATCGCTGATGCGCAATAGCAATTCGCACGAAGAGGCACCAAAATTTAAATGGGAAGGTATCAAATATTTACTCGAGGACGCTCAACCTGATGTTTTACTCTTACTTGACTCATGCGCTACTACGGATTCATCCGTTGCAGGAAGCCAAGGCATTAAACAGGGGATTGCTGCATACAGTCCAGATCAGGCTACACGTGAACCAGGAACACGATCATTTACATATCACTTGTCGGAAGCTCTTAATAAACTTGGTACTGGCCGTCCTTTCAGTACGCAGCGGCTCCACGAGGAGATCATTTCACAAAAGCACAATGGATTTCTTGCACACACTGGACTTACAAATGGAGCAGGGAAGGCAGCTTCGACCAACGAGCGAATGCCAGTATCTTTCTCATTAACCCCTGGATCATTGCAAAGCATTTCACTATCCCCTCTAAGCCAGGCTCCAAGACCAAGTACGTCAATGGGATCGGTAGGAGGTTCTCCGGAAAATAATGCTCAAGGATCAAACGCCGATGAACCAATCAAGGCCAACTCAAATTCTGACCTGACTTTTGAAGAAGTTAGAGCATTGGTTTGCACAACTTTTGTTGGAGAACCCAGTCAAGATATGGCATCTTTCAAGCAGTGGCTTCACAATACTCCCTTGGCAGCATCAAAAATTGCTGTTGAAGGCATGTTTCACGGACCGCCTACCATTCTCCTTGTTTCTATGCCCATTGCAGTGTGGAACGTTCTAGCTGCAGAAGGAATTTGTTTGTTCTTGGGATACATAAATTCTCACAACATGACGACGGATTATCAACATTTGATTGGAGCAATTTCCCCTGTCAACAAAGCAGCAACTTCCAAGGAATTGGAAGATGGTAAAATTCTACTTGAAGCTCGTGAGGCTGCTGCATCTACACCTCTGATGACTAGACATGAATCAGTTCAACTAGAGCCAACTAGACAACAAGAAGTTATTCAACAAACTCCTTCTCGACAGGAACCTTTAAGACAAGATCCGATCACTTCCACTCCTCAATCAATTCCTCAAGTATTATATCCTGATACTAGTATACCAAATCTCCCAGAGCATACAGATGACGTTGAGACGTCTGTCGAGATGCATGAGGCAGCTGAACAACTTAAGGCTTTAAGTCATGTCCGACATGTTAGTCATGATCATCTAACTCCAAATGACAGAAATCACTCTCACATAACAGCCGAAGATTCCCCAGGCCTCAGAAGTGGTCGAGAAGAATCAGCATCATCACAGGAGCAAGGTGAATCTGGTGGAGAGGATCAAATGTACAACTCTGAAATTAATTCACCTGCTTCCAGACCTAAGCCCCGGAGGTCGTCACAAAAGCAAGGTCCTAAGCAAGATACCCGATGTTCAATGTGCAGCCATGCACCGTTCAAAGATTCCTCTTCCTTGCGAAAACATATTGCTGCAGCACACACAAGACCATTCCCATGCGCTTTCTCCTTTGCTGGATGTGCAAGCACTTTCGGCTCTAAAAATGAATGGAAGCGTCACATCGCTTCTCAACATCTTTGCTTGACATATTATCGCTGCTCTTCTTGTCCTCAAAGCACTGTTGAAGGCAAAGGCAATGAATTCAACCGCAAAGATCTCTTTACTCAACATCTCCGACGTATGCATGCACCTTTTGCAATCAAGAAAGCTCTTGCTAAAGGCGACTCTAAACTGCAACTTGAGTGGGAAACCCATGTTAAGGAAATGCAAGCTTCGTGTTTAGTGACCAGAAGACAGCCACCTCAAAGGTCCGCATGCCCGAAACCAGATTGCTCAAATGTGTTTGAGGGCGCGGGTAGTTGGGATGACTGGACTGAACATGTAGGTAGGCATATGGAGAAAGGGGAAGCAAATAGATTGGGTGTTGATAAGCATTTGGCGAGATGGGCGCTTGATGAAGCCATTATTGAACCCAAGGGAGATGGATCTAATGAATACAGGTTATGTGGTACAGAGCGAGAAGGCAGTGGTGTGATAACTGGTAATGGAAATACAAGCGGCTATTATTCGGATGGCGGAAAGAAGGAAATGGACAACTCCAAAGATGGGCTTGAGAGCCTAATGGGCTTGACAGGTGATAGTATGGTCATTGACGGTTGACGAATTTACCATGGTGAATTGGCCGAGATATGAGGGTATTTTGAGACGAGAAGCAAGAAACAAAAGGGTCATTTTCAAATTACGCGTTCTTGGGATAGTTTTCTACGTTATCGTTGTGTGATATCAAATCAAAGTTTTGGGTGGTTGCTTTTGTTTGGTTAGCATCGTGTGTTAGCATTGTGTTGCTCTGGCTCTAAGTCTCGCTCTCCTTCATCACGAGCGCAATTGTCGATCTTCGTATACTCGGTGAATGGCGAAATTGCTCTTTTTATCTAATGTATGGGTGGATGCACGGATGCATGGATGGTCTTTAGGAACAATATCTTGAGGATATTTTTCTATTTAGGATCTATTATGCAAGCAAGGGCGAAGGTATGGATGGGATTGGTTGGGTGGAATTATTCGTTAGGAATATGAAAATGAAAAATGCTTCTTTTCTTTTCTTTAGATTTAGGAGTTGTGTTCTATTGTGATTTGATTGATGATGAGGTGTGAGGTGTGAAGTGAGCAAAACGCTGGGTATGTTCATTGAGGGTGATTATCTTGTAAGTTATAATTGTCAGTGATCTTTGTTTCGGTGGCTTGGTTCTTTAAGCGAAAATCATTTAAACGCTGTTGCGAAGAATATCAATCTTCTCTCTTCAGTATCAAATTTACACCGTCTTGAAAACGTGGGGAAGAGTAATAGACAAAGAGATCGATACAAAGTAAGTATAATGCTAATGAATGGGACGATGGCTTCAGTAACGTCACATGTGTATATTGATTGATTGGGCAGGGTAAATATTAGGAGGAACTTAAGTTGGAGTTTTGCTGTGCATGGAGGAATTCGAGCGGGACAGAGGGATTGGGGGATTGAGGGAGAGGTTGGTTGAAGGATTTGAGTGGCGTGTGGGGATAGGTGGGTATGGGGTTTCGTCGAGGTGGGGAAGCGGAGAGGAGGAGGAGGATGGACAAGAGTAGGGAGAAGAAGATTTGCGGACGCCGATGAATGAGTCTATTGTTAGTCCACTTTTTACACGGTTAGAAGGCTTCTGTCACTCCTGATGGAGGTGATATCATATGCGGATGAGTATTAAGTAACCCCCAAAATGGATTTATAACATACCATGCACTAGGTCTCGCTCTTACTCTCACTTCCACCTCAAAAAACATCAGCAATTTTGCAATACAGAAAATTCCAATAGCTGTCTCAGATTTATAAGATAAGTGTAATCTTACCTACGTAAAGGAGGAGATGGAAAGAATTCAGAGATTTTAAAGATTTTATATCTTTTGGGGATAGCTGTAATGGAAGAGATGGAGTGGAAATGCGCAGTGTGAAGGCGATTGAGGAGAGGGGTAAGTAAGGGGGTGGATCCGGATGGATTTAGGATTCAGGGGTTTATGGGGTTGGGTTTGAGGGTTTCGGGAGGAATGCTAAGAGAAGGTGGTTCAAGTGGTAAGTGGTAGTGTAATGATGGCGGTGCCGTGGTGTGGGTGGCTTGTGACGGAGGGACGATTCCAGATTCCTGGGGTTGGTTGAATGGGTGAGTATTTCCAATGGATCATAGCACCTAGTAGGGGCATGGAATAGGAATTGTATATTATGTGATGGCTATGCTAATATCATACATATAAGATGTTATTATATTCCAAAGTCGTAAAGTGACTCCGAACTATTTATATATCACTTAAATTCTAATCCAGCCACGGAATAAAAAGATAAGGGTTATTACTCCTGTATTTGTAGTTATTTGCTATATGATAGTTTAAGCTTATATATAATGTTTAAATAAAAGATATACTAAGATCAGAAGTTTGTAGGGTTCATTGATCGATGATCATTATATCACGTCTTCAAATCACTTCAATATATAGAGAGAGAGATATTTTATTATTTCCTCTCATCAACTTCAGATCGCCGACAATAGTATTTATTATCCATTCCTAGGGAACGCTATCCCCTGTATCCCTTTAGAAGAATCCTTTACATTCTCTGTTCTATTACTAGATAACTATAATTAGATATTCTTCTTATTGTGATATGGTTCAAGCAAAAGCTCCCAACAAATCAAACAAATCACCATCACATTTTGCCTACATGCACAAATAATCTTCCCAAAAACTCCTTTTTGAAATAAGATCTTATCTAATTAGGTGTAAAATCTTAAAGAAGTAATTTTTTATGTGTAATGGTGGATTAATGATTACTAGGTGGCGGATAGATGTTACACCGAGCGGGGTGGTTTCTCCTGATTACTGATCAAGCTCGGTAGCTCTATCTATCTCACTGATGAGAATGATATTAGAAATTGTATTCGATAAGGTTAAAGTAGAGGTTTGAGAAATTTTGGGGGAAGAAGGAGGTAGGGTGTAATTTTTGATCTTGAAGATTTGTTTTGTGTTCTTTTATGGTGTGAATCGAAATTTTGTACGAAATTTAAGTGCGTGACTACTATTACACGCAGTACCAGAAAAGTAGTAAATGATCAGGACTTGCGCGGTGGATGGTATATATACCGGAAGATGAAAGGATATTTTTGAACATTGAGGTTGAGTATCTATATTGAGGCCCTTCTCGTGTAAGGGCTTGTGGAAAGGGTGATGATGAAGAAATTCTACGAGGCACAGTCTGTGAATCTCTGATATAAAATGTAAATGTGCTGTTCATTCCATCTTTTGAGTTTCATGTCGTTTCATATTATTCGTTGTTTATATTCATTGTCATTAGCTGATTGTACAGACTACACTCAAGATTTAGATGAATAGCTACGTGGGTATTGGACAACAGACGACGTCTATCTATCTATCTTAAACTTCTTTTGAACAAGTCGAGTGGAGAATTCATCATTATTTGACTTCCTGATTCCTAAGTGTTTGACTTGGAGTTCGATTTAGATTTGGATTGTATTTGGTTATCATTATATTGATGTATAGGTATATTTTTTTATTAGTACAACTATTATAAAAGGTATAATAATAAACTATAAACGCAATCAAAAGTCTTTATGTCGGGTATGTTTAAGGGAATCAGAAATCCATGAAAACCTATAGTACTTTTCCCCTAGTCCCCAGATCCAAGAAACGTCTCATTACACCCAATACCAAAATAGATAATATAGTATCCAAATATTCCACCGAACCAAACGCACCAACTCCATACCATAGCAGGAAATCTACATCCAGAAATCCCACTGTCTTTTCCACCAAGGCCAAGCAGCCTTAACTCTTCTCTCCTCATCTAGCTCCTCTCTAAATGCCACCAAGTCAATTTCACGTCTGCCCTCATCAACATTGATTTGATCGAGATTTACACCAATAGACCATTGCTTATAATACAATTTATATCCAATGAAGAAGAAGATAACAATTGGAGCAGCTAGATAAGCTTCAAAGAAAGCTTGCGCCTCTGGTTTTCCACCAATGGGAAAGAGGGCGACGTAGAATTGGGCAACGAGACAAAGGCAGACAAGAAGAAGACCAATCCATGATCCGATTGTTCCGAACATAGCTGCGAAGGGGAGATCGTCTTTGGTGCGACCATTCATGGCCCATACTTTGCGGAAACGGATATGAGCAAAGCAGATAGAGCCCCAGGTGAAGAAATTGGAGAGACCGGAGAGAGAAAGGAGCCATGTGAAGATAATGGAGCCTTGAGGAGCGAGATTTATGTAGGCGAGGAAGCCGAAAGCAAGGGCAACGACAATCGCAATGTATGGGCGGCCACTTTTATCGACCTTTGCACCCCAGGATGGACCCATGCCTTTGGTGCAAAGAGCTTGGATGGTACGTGTCGAGGCGAAAGTACAGGAGTTAGCGACTGAGATGACGGAGAGAGTGATGACGGCGTTGAAGATAGAGGGGAGGACTTTGATTCCTGCGAGACGGAAGGAGAGGACGAAAGGGGAATAGGATGTGTGACCTCCGGAAGCTTTTGATAGAATATCGTTGTTGGAGGGAACGATGAGGCCGAGGAGGAAGAGCGAAATGACGTAGAAGAGGGAGATACGCCAGAAGACTTGCTTGGTGGCCTTAGGAATTGATTTCCTCGGGTTGTCGGCTTCCGCTGCAGCTAATCCTACAAGTTCAGTTCCACCGAATGCAAAGGAGGCTGTCACAAAGACTGAACAGAAACCTTTGAAGCCATTGCGGAAAGCGCCAGGGTTTGACCAATATTTGGCGCCAATGTAGCCACGGCTATCAGTAGGGACACCACCACAATCGATGATTATACCGAGAATGATGAATCCAATGACAGCTACAACTTTGATTAAACCGAGAACAAATTCAACTTCTCCGTATCCTTTGACACCGAAGAGATTGATAACAGTAACCATGACGAGGAAAATAGTGATCCAGACTCCAACATTCACTGAAGGATTACCAGAATTATCCGGATCAGTCCAAAATCCAATTGTGATACCGGCAGCTGTTAACTCAAAGGGAAGAACGATGAGCCAATTGATAGCATAGTTCCATCCCATTGCAAAGCCCCAACCTGGATCGATAAAGCGGACAGAGTAATTGTAAAAGGAGCCTTCAACAGGGTAGAGAGCTGTATCACGTAACATTAGCTTGAGCTCTTTTGCATGGGTACAATAGCAGGGATAAAGTAGGAACGGGATGATCTTACCAGCAAGTTCTCCCAAAGCATTAACAGTAAGCAACAACATGATACCAATAATGATAAAGTCAATAACCAATGAAGCCGGACCACCAGAATGAAGTGCAGAACCCGAGCCGACGAATAGACCAGCTCCGATGGAACCACCAATTGCGATCATTTGCATATGTCTACCCTTTAATTGTCTCTTCAATTGTCCCGTCTGACCGACCTCGATGTCGCCATCGGTAGTTAGAGATGGCGGCGCCACCTCAGCCGTGTACTTCTCCTTATCGTCGAAAGCCATTTTTATTTCTGAAAGGAATTCTGAACTACCTTTGCAAAATTTGGATTGCTCCCGATAACACAAGAGGTAAAAGGAGGAAAGAGAGGAAGAGAAGACGGGGTCGAATTCGATCCACTCTCGCCGAGTGTGATATCGAAATACGAGATGAGCGCAAAGCACAGGATAAGAACAACAAAAGACGTTTTGAGGATGATAGGGAAATCCCTTAACTTTGCGTAACATCGAGTACTTATACACTGGGCCATCTAACCTGAGTATCTATCGTCGCACCTACCGTTCTGGTGTATACCACACTAATGGCATGCACACATGCATCATCTATCCGCCACTTGTGCTTCGTAAATGATATGGGTAATTGCAAGACTAGGCGGGGAATAATGTCCCCCCTTGCAAGTGATACGACCCTTTGCCGGGCGAATAAACGAAAGAAGCCAACACTTGTGGTGAGTGGTGAAGCTTGCCTAACTTTGCCTACAGACCGTATGTAGGTCAATAGTGATACCCACAGAAAGCCCGACTCCAATTTCAGCTAAGATAAGACTAAACCCTATGCATCGCGTTTATCGACAGATATCAAGACATGATCCCAGTCCTACGTGCATCAATGCCCAATAGGATGGCGATGGCATGTCTCTAGGACGATAACAATGACCAGCCAAGATAGCTATGAAGATAGCAGATAAGATTGGAGGAGAGTTGTAGCAATCTCATTGCAATTGTGCGTGGTAAAATATTCTTGGGATGCCCTAGGCACGTTTGCCGAGGCGGCCTATTAGTGAAAGATATGTGTTCGGGCTTGAACCCGAAATCAGATTATGTAGCTTGGTGAGCTAGACTCTATTCGTAATAGTGCATATACTGTCTAAAAATTGATTAGTCGAAAGTTATTCAGCTCAGCTCCCTACTCCGCATAAAACATTTCGCTGCGGAGATAGATAAGAGAATGAGCTTGAAGGGCCTTTTCCCTAGGTCGAGATCCTTAAACACCGACGCAGACAAGTTACGGTAGTGGCTTCTAGCTTGCCTCAAATTCCTTCTAGAATAATTCTTCACGTGCAGTAAATAAAACCTTGTCTTGTTTTCGGTCAGGCCGAGGCAGTGGACGCAGGTCTTGGGAATCTTTGAGGTTCGTCCTGGGCAAAGCGAGAATGAAGGGGTCAGTAAAATAGTTAGCTTTTTTTATGTCCAAGTCAATGTTAGTGTTATTTCGTGTTTTTATTGTTCTAGATAAGTGAGTGTCCCTACGAGTACATACTCGAGGTGATTGATAATTGATTATTGGAATTTAGATCTATACAACTTTGGGAAAAATACACATGGCTTCCGGGATTTGTGGAAAAGGGTTAAATCACGAGGGACTTCCGTTTTTGTGAATCCAGCGTTCATCCCTACGCCAAGTAGAACAGAATAAACCAATACAATTTCTCAGATGAGCGTAAACAATGGAGTCTCCGAGCTCGTGGGGTTAGTGCTAAGCTATATCTCTCCGCACTGTTGCCCCCACCATCCACTTTAACTGCCACTCTGCCAAAACATCGGCGTCCCAGCTCCCAAAGGGGCGTCCAGAAAGTATCGCACACTCCACCTGGAGCACATACCACAAGATGGTAAACTACAAATTGCAGGTTCTTATGTTAGTAGATTGTACTAGACTTTCTAACCGTACCAGTATTACGAGGTATTCAATTTCGAATTCCCTAACGAGCACCCGCCTAATATTTATTAAGGGATGCCATCAGTATGGATGCAGCTATAAGACCTTACAGGTGTTAGTATAATATGCTGTAAGTCAATCTATCAGATTGACTTTTGAAAGCTAATGTTTAATGAGGCTCAAAAGTATAACTTTATTCAACCAGTATTTAAATTAAATGGAATTCATTGTGGGCTAATTATTTAAGCTCGCTTATTTTTGGTAAGGTGAGGGTGATCTAAAACTATAGGCTTTTATAGTGCTAATACCCTGTAAGGCTCTACACGTAGTCACATCCAAACTCGTGGCATCCTCCGCAGTGCCGTGAGGAAACGTGCATCCCCAACCTTATTTTCTCAGGGGGCTGAGGGAGTGAGGGACTGAGGGACAGCAACTCTAGGCTGCGAACTGTCGTCCCGCATGGATGGCTTATCTGCGGAGAATTGCGAATAATACTATTCGTCACGACAGCTTGACTTTAGAGCGCACTGGACTAAATTTTTATCGCTCTTGATCCCGCCTCTTGCGATGTTGTTACGAGTTTGGATGAGTCTACTTATCAATGATATGATTTCAGAGTGGGCATTCTCTCCTTTTGGGGAGGATTTCTCAATGAATGAGGTAAGAACCTCTTCCCTGTCATTCTAAGAAATTAGGGGAATGGGAAATTTGAAATTGACCTACACTGCACAGCTGACCTCCATTCACCCAGCAGAACAATAGGAGTGCCAATGTTGGGGAACAAGCAATTTCCATGCATGATAGTAAGTTTAAGGAACCAGGAAAAATTTCAAGGCGAGCCGATCACAATGCACGATAGCATCAGTCAAGAATGATCATCAACAACTAGTAGACTAGAGATATTTACACTTCCAACACTAACTGGTTGACATCGACAGAAATACAGCTAAAGGATCTTCCTCAAATTGCATATTCGTCAGTGGGCCGTAAGTAAACCTAGTTTCACGTGAGGGATATGCAACAGCAGATTGTCTAGTGCTAATCTCGCCACCATGTTTGCCCATGAATGATGCTGAAAAAGCGGTATGATTACCATCTTTCATGAAAGACCGTATGATATCTTTCTTATGAAGGATCTATACCAAGATAAGAGACCGAATATCAATTTGAGCAGGCCCGGAACACGCTAGCGGGTTAAAATTGAGAGTTTACCATCACCGTTTGGGTGACAAATTTGTAGGCCGTCCCTGCGTTTGCTCGCTTTCATCCTGAGGATCAGGGGTGAGAAGAGGTGCCATCTCGTGATGCCACTTGTCCAGAGATTAATCCTCGAGTAGACGCTCTCAACCCCTTCACAGTTGCTGACAACACTCTAATGGCACCACTTCATTTGTGAAAGTGTATGAGCTGCCGACCATTGTCCTTTTCGGACCACTGGTAAAGTCTTGGTAGCTTTGTACCCTTGCTTTAGTGCTCCTCTGCCAAATTTACCGCTAATTCAGCCTGTCAGTCCAACAAGAGCATCTATACCAGCGCTGATTTCTTGTCTTTCAGTCATACTTCCGATTATATTAGACGTCGTCGGCGACAAAACTTGCGGCGATAGCACGCTGACATATATGGCTAATCTTGCACCACCAGTTAAGATACAAACGCCTATACTATGGCTAACGGCAATTCGAACCACCGCCATAATAAGATCTTCCCATCCAAATTCAATACCATTGAGACCGAAATGGCCATCGAATCGAGTCGATTAATCTTGTCTCCAAACAGAATATATAAGGATTAATCTCCCCTGATGCAAATGGACTCCAAGAATCAGGCGCACGGAATCGCCTAAGTTGGGTATTGTAGACTCGTTAGCTATTACCTAGATGGTACCAACCTGTAACGGGACCTTGCTACTGTCCATTGAAGCTTATGGAGGAGAAGAAAGCCTCAATTCCGCAACCAGAGCATTCATACGGTGTGCACTGCTGATTCTGGGTTTGATCATTCTGAGAATCCAATGTGGCTAGAACAGGCTGTTGGCAGCTCGAGCCCAGAGATGGGCTTCCATGCTTCCATCTTCTCGAGAAATTGTTTTCCCGGATACCCGGATCCATTGGACAAACTTGTTGCCTCCCTTTCTTCACGACTATAAGTGATGCCCGATAGAAGAAGGCCGTGTCCGGTCGATTGGGTACTTTCTGAAATGCCAGGTTTCCGCCTGCATCATACAGGTATTGTGTGAGAGGATATTACCGTTGGCATCTCGCACTTCAGTTTAACAACTCATGTTATCAAATTGCAGTTCGACCTTGTTCATCGCGCGTTAAGCAGCCGCTCTCATCATACTCCAGGACGACCTCAGATGAATAGTCTTGGTGTGTGTGAATAATCTGGGCGAGTTGAGTTCGATCCTGTGTGTCAAAAGGAAACATCGTAGTAGATTCATTAACATTAACAAAGTTATCAAAGACAAAACACCGCGATCAAAAGAGATTTCCTTGTTGATCGGCGCAGGGCCAGCCCCCTTGACATTGATAATCGACCGGGCGGTTGTGGTCATCATATACGAAAGTCTCACTCCGCACCACAGAACTCTCTCTTTTCTCCTGGTATCGCGAAGCCACAAGATCAATTTTATTGTGTGCCTGGCTAAGTTGATATAGCAGACTCGATTCTCCTTTATACACAGATTGCTTCATTTACTCGCCAACCTCATCATCTATCAGTTTGCTAGTTATCTTCGTGTTTTTTACTTCGTACTCCACTCAGCCTTCGCTTACTCATTCCGGATTGTCATAGATAAGCGTCCTCAAAAGACGCCGTACTTGTACCACTTGCTGAAATCTTCCAAACGCATCAATATGAGCCTCATGCCGTTTTTTTTTTCATACCCTTATACAATTATAACTTCCTAGCTATCAAATAAGTATACCGAATAGAAAATTTCCAGTCTCCGGGAATGTGGATGCTTTCTTGAAAATTGTCCTGAGGTCGAATATTATAAATCATGTTTGAATAGGAAGAGATAGCTTCAATCATCTTGTTAGTAAAACGGCCAACTCAGGTCGTACAACACAGTACAAGCTGGATTATTTTGACTTTGCGGGGAGGCATCTGGCCTAGTACTCGGGTGGTAAAGACTCAGTATGCGACTCAGGCCGCTCCGTACTTCCAATATTGATAAAGCTCACCGACAATACTGTTGATGAGCAAGTTTTTGATGGATTAGGCCGTGTTACATGACAAGTTCTCAGTGCATGAACCACTAATCAAACCTATCAAGGAACTTCGCCGAGCCTACACAGAGAGCAATACAAAAGGATATGTATAATTCTCACTACGAGTAGGCATCCAAGAATCATTAACTGGCATCGCCGTCTCCGTTTTCAAATATCTTTGTAAGTCGTGGCCCGGACTATTTGAGTATTTCCCGGCTGGTAGATAGTAAATCCGATCTATTTTGGTAAGATTACCATTGGCCTTGATGTCCTGAATCAGATTCCCCACTCATTAAGACAGGCTTGCTTGCCTCGCTGCGACCTAGTTTACTGACTGCATCCCTAGAGGTATTTATTTTCCCCACAGTTTTAAGCAATTATTGCACCGGCTGATTCTCAAATGCTGCGGAAGGAACTGCATGGTAGCTGATCTTCTGAACAACTTGCTTTGAGACTTTCTGTTGATCGAGCCGACAAGAAAATGGAACTTATTATAAGCATACCTCGTCTTAATCCTTGTCTTAACTCGAGTAGTTGAGATGTATTGGTATTCATCACGGGCAAGATACGAAATATATTCCCATTCTCTTCAGTCATGGCTACTGCAAAATGCGGGAAAATTGTAATCTGAATAGGTGTGAAAAATTTTGATCGGAGGCTGTGAGCTGCCAGGATGCACTCTACGTTATATGTGATGGGATTGCCCAGCGAGGTACTCCTGTTAGTAGCTAATGCCCTTGTTCTAGGTAATGAATCTTTTTTACTAGATCAGACGGGCTTGTTACACTGTTTAAATGTACCATTTGACCGAATTTCTCAAAGCTAAACTTTCCGAATACCTTTCCTCAAGATGAATGAATCTCTGTCAGCTGACTGTTCCCTAAATATGAGCGAAAGAAGTAGCCTCAGAGGTATCTGGAAATTTTACTATGTCAATTCAGATGTCCCGTGCTTGGCGTCGAAGAGAACCTCAGGGCCCAGCTGAATCTCCTCAAGGCGAGAATCCTCGCCAGATCCGCTATGTAAATTATAGCCAACGACCTTGGGAGCTTATAAGTCAAGAAGAAAAGACTTATCGTATCTATCATTAAAAGTTCGACAAAGTCCTGATTTGAACCAATTTCTAAGTGTCCTGTAGGTGTTGGTATTTATCTTCCTCATGGTTGAGATTTTGATTTTCCGATTGGTCGTGAACATAGAACTAGATGTTTCCCCTAATTAACTCGAAAGGATTCGGCTGTTGAGGAACTGACCTTCCGATATAATTGAAAATGTTCATAATAAGGTATATTAAACAACTACCCTTGGCCAAGTACATTGTTTTGTGTGTTCAAGGGGTTGAAAGCTAAGGATAGCTTAAATGGAGGGCAGCTCCTGGCCTGGATTGGCGCTTTATATAAATCATACACGTATATTGCACGGATATCGACGCATTTCTGCAAAAGTCTTCGCAATTAAAGCCCTGAGAGTAGATCAGAGAAATAAACGACATATCTATGGTAATGAATTGCAACCTGAGAAACGATTACAGCAATTAATATCAAATATAAAATATTCAGGGAAAGCCAGACGTCCCATTCGGGAAGATGATTTTGGAGATTGAGTATCTTCTCTATATCCTATTCATGATACACAACATATTTCTTCGTCCCCTTCCCCTGATCCAACTTGGTATCAGTAGCATAGAAACAGTTCTGTGTTGTTTTACATGATTTAACATTTTATACTTATACCTATTCAAAAGTAAAGCTGCATTATTAATTAATGGAAGTAGATTATATGATTCCACCATTACATATACAATGAACCGACAGTAAGATGGTAAAAATCATATAGGTAATGCTGTCATCGATATCGATCTGGTTGACGAACTCAGGAGTTGAAGTCAAAACTGCTGGGCATGTATCAAGAAACCAATTGTAACCACGCGCAGTGACTACCAAGATTCCAGTTTAGAGTTTCAAAGAATAACTGCGAGAAAGTACTCTTTGCATCAAAGCTGAATAGACGAAAGAAAATATAGATAATGACCAGAACAGTTACTATCCTACAAGCAAGGGTCATCCGTCAAGAGAGCGAATCTCCATGGCCATTTTAATGAAAATGATGTCTAAATAAGAATACGAAACGCCTACAGCTCTAAATGATTACCATATACGGCAAACAGCCGCCCATAAGGCCAAAACTGCTACTTTAACTCACCACATCAATAGCAGAAGATATCCAGATCCTTAAACAAAAGGACATTTTCATAAAATGCGAATGCTCTATATCTTACTGCCTTAAAGACATCGATCGTGTCCCAAAAGATATTTAGTCCAGCGCTAGATCGTATTCCACATTTAGTTAAAATTTTCGATTCCTGTGTTAATTCAGGGGAGTTCGGTTTGGTGTTAATGAATACAACAATGTGATTAGCTAACCTATCATAACTGTAGCACGTTCTGCGAAATTTTCGATACTATCACCTGGAAGGGGCGAGGTATACGTAAGCAAATCACCAAGACCAAATTTAGCGACTCGCAATACATCAACTATTTGGGTTAGTGAAAGACTTGTGAAGAGAGAGAGATTTTCTGGCGCTATTGTAATAATGCGCTCAAAACAGAAGAAGTTGGAGCAGATATCATTATTTAAAATTCTTATTTCCCTTTTCAACTTGATATCTTTGTTTAGCGAATTCTATTATCTTGTCGATACTACAGCGAGAGAGAGACTTTTGAGAGGTAAGAGTCACTTTGATTAGAAAATAACAATGTGACCTACTCAAATTGATTCAACTTCATGGTGTAGTGTCTATCGCTTTTCTTTTGTTTATAGAATTGAGATATTATTATTTCCTAAGGCTAATTAATATATTGTGAGAAAGTTGGAATTATCGGCTAGATACATGGAGGTTTTTAACTAGTCAACCATATAACCTCTTGTAATTAGATACAAAAGAAGAGCTTTTGCCTCTCCTTTTTACAACAAACAATCTTCTATATATATATATTTGATTCTATATAGCCTCAATCTCTAAGCCATTATGAATCCTGTTTTCTTTATAAGTGATATATTACGATGTGATCTAATCAGCTTTCTTTTCCAATTCTCCCTTACAGCATACTATCGGGACACATATATCTCGACCTACCACTTTTACAATATAACTTCACTCGCTGTTGAAAATAACTAATTATAGCTTATCTCCTCAGGGAGTACACTTTCACTATCACACTTACTCTTATACCCAACCACGAAACAATAAAAAATATCTGAAAAAAAAACTCCTCTTTTAATATCTAATATAGTTATTAAAAAAGAAAAAGTAATAGAATTTATCTATAGGGTATATATAACTTTTTATCATATTATATAATATATAAAATATAAGTCTAATACTCTACTTTCGAACTATTCTTTTACATCAGAAATAACGATTTTCACTTATTAATATCTCAACAATTAATGGATAGAATTTGATGAAATTTTAATTACAGATTTATTATATAATTATTAATTAATTTTAAAAATTTCAGACTTTTCGCGATTTTATTAATTGAAATATATATAATTGAAATTTTGATTTTTAATTTATATAAGATTTATATATATAAATTTGAAAAACATTAAACCTTGAAATAACTTTTAAACGAAAATTAATAAAAATAAACTACAAATTTTTTCAAATCTTCAAGTTAAATATTATATAAAAAAACTAAAAATTCGAGTTTTAAATAATATAAATAAGTGTCTATTGAAAATTATAATATTTTAATTAAAAGAATTTTTTAAAAATAAATTAATCCATTCGATTAATCATGATTCAAAGATTTGATAAAAATTTATAATTTATTTTTGGTAATTTTTGTTGAAAATTTATTAAAGGTTTTCAATATTTTTAAATTTTTATATAAATTCTATACAAATTAAAAATCATGATTCCAATTATATATATTTCAATTAATAAAATAGTGAAAAATCCAAAAATTTCAAAATCAATCAATAGTTATATAATAAACTTATAATCCAAGTTTCATCAAATTCTATTGATTAATTGTAAAATTATTAATAGATGAAAATCACGATTTTTGATATAAAAAGTAAACCGAAAAGGGGGGTGGTCCGAAAGTAGGGTATTAATTAGACTTAAAACATAAAATAAAAACCTAAAAAATTTACATCCCCTTTTCCTCCCCAACACTCCTCAAACCAGCCTGATACTCCGGACTCTCCGGATCAAAACTCACAACTATGAGATAAAGAACATCCTAAGCACAATTAGCTCTATACGCACACAACGTTTCCAGCGAAAAAAAAAAGAAAAAGAAAAAAAAAAACTAACCTTCTGCAAAATCCTCTTCACAAGACCCTGTTTTCTCTTCCTCCTAAGTTCCGTCTCCGGCGTAATAACTTCACTTCTCCGATACGCGGATCGAATTCTTTTATTTTGTCTTCTTTCTCCTCTAGCTGCTCTACGTTCCATTTTTCGCGCTTTGGGATTGATATGTCCGCCTGTTATGAGAGAGATGAGAGATCCGCTATTAGCAGGGTGACTGGGATCCGAGTATCGGGAGAGAAATTGTGGTTTGGGGGTTGCTAGGGTGGTGTTTGGATTTTGCATTGCCTGTTTTTTGTTATGTTAGGATTTAGGGTGGAGTGAAGGAAAGGAGAGGAAAGCTGGGGAAAGATGTCCTAGACAGGAGAAAAAGGAACTGACATATTTGGCTTGAGCTCGACGATCGAAGTAATCGGTGACGAATTTGCCACTGTCCTTGAATTTGTTACTTTTGGGGATATTTTCATTTCCTTCAATCTCGACAATTTGGTCTAATGCTGGGAAAATTAGTGGTGCTGCTTCTGGCATTTCGAGTTCTCCATATGTAGTCCCGCTTGAAAGTTTGATGTTCTTCAATGTTTTTTTGAATCCTGTGGTTGTGTCATCAAGAGATGAGGAAATGGCTTTAGTAATATCAACCGAAGCATGGGTTGCTGATGATTCGGGCTTATACGTAAGTATCAAGCAGTAAAGATCACGAGGCATGAAGAATTCATTATTCATTCTATCGAGGAAAGTATTCGTCCTGTGGAATATTTATCAGCTTATGATCAATATTGAAATAATGGAAACTAACCTTGATCGTGCCTGAAGCTCCATAGCCACACCGACAGCAAATTGAGTAGCGATTGATACACCCATTGTAATGGGACCAGGAACAAAGCCTACAATACCAGCTGCTGCATTTATAACATTTAACCATGGAGAAGATTTACTCGCATGGTAGAAAGTTTTTAAGAAATCTAAAAATGTAGCTTGGTCGATCCCACAATCTTCTAAAACAGGTGCATATGCTCTGATAAATCCACGCTTCTTGTCTCTTGGTCTGCGCTGTGGAAGGATAACCGGACAAGGTAATTTCGGCTTTGAAGCACTATATGCTGGAGGTGGATGATTCCGTATGAATACATTGGTAAGTTCATCTGCATTTTGAGCAATTTCCTCGGAAGGAGTAGTTGGATTGGATGGATTTGCCGCTTCGTCCAAAGCCCAAGCTTCCTCATCCCCTTCCTCAGATTCTGTATCCGAAGAATCCTCATCCTCAAGTTCCTTTTCGATTTCATACTTTTCTTTCTCGTTTATTGGCACAGCTTGGCCCTTGGTTATCGTTTTATTGGCTTCCTCAGGGGATACTTCAACATATTGAGGGGGTGCATCGTTGTAAGTGTGATCTAATTGAGCACCCGCTCGACTGCTTTCACCATTGTTCGAAGAAGCTTGAAGATCTGATGAGGACTTATTTCTATGATGATGAATTGTTTCTAATACAAGACCGAGTCCTGATCCAACGAGTTTGACTAAAATGCCCATACTTGTAATGAAAGCTGTGTTGATGCAACGAGAGTATTTGATTAATTGATAAAGTGTCAATCGATGATAAATAACAATGATTTGAAAGAATGAAAAGATACTTGGCCCAGCTTTACCTCTTATTATATACAAATCTCATGGCATCTCAGCTATTGCATCGTTTCACGGAAGCCATTAGAAGGAGCCGAGCGGCTGTAACTACAGATCTCAACTTCTTGCGAACCTCATTTGGTAAAGATGGGGTTTTGATTTCGCTGCTGCTGATGGATTAGTGAAAGATTATGTGTATTTATCTGGTCTGTGCATTCATTGTTTTTAAGTGGCAGTGCAAGAAAAGCGAGTAGTTTTAGAGGGTAAGGGTGTAGATTGAAGAATAGAACTGACAGGGTATTTATACCCGGATCAGCACTAGACCTAAACTAAACTAGCATACATGTGACCTGATAAAATTACTCTCGTTACAGTGCACCTCAGAAGATTGGAGGAACAATGGAGCATGCTTAACCTATTTGAGACTGCCAATTCGTAGGGCTTACTCTATACACAGCCCAATTCAAGGATTCTGCACGAACTTTGATGATCCCGTCATCAAATTAAGAATTAAGCATTGTGGATATTTTGACAGATTGCATATCAAGCTTCGCTAAAAAGCTTGACTGTCCGAGTTACGAAACATTTTTCATGCTGGCATAGGGTTAACCTTGCAGACGATGCACTTTATTATTAATAATATATTACTTATAGAATAATAATGCAAGAAACCCGATACTTTGGCTAGGTACAAGCACAGCACCAGCGACAGCAAACACAATGCCTCTTATTAGAATACAAATCCAACTCCATTCCGACCCTCCAAATATTGCATTCAAGTAGCTCAAACTACAAGATATATCCCCTCACTGCCACTGCCACTGCCACTTCCACTGCCACTTCCACTTCCACCTCCACCTCCACCTTCACCTACACCTCCACCAACTCCATATAACTTTTCACAACTCACAACTCACAACCCACGCCCTAAATCTTAAAATTTAAAATCTCCCATATCCGCGCTCCTTCCAGCTCCAAAACACCATCTAAGTTTCCTCTGTAACCTTACTCCCCAGATTTTCCCTTAAAACAAAGAATCAACACCAACATGAACATTAACACTATCAACACCATTCATTATCCATATATCCATATATCGATAATAGGTTCTATCCAGAAATGTAAAAATCAAACTACAAAAACTCGTCGAGATTCTTATATCTATAATCAGAACTATACACACCCCCCACCCGATTAAAGATAGTCGAGTCGAGTCGAGTTGAGTCGAGTATAGGGGGGTGATATCGAGGTGTGGAGTTTTGTAGAGGGATAGGAGGGAGGGGTCTTGTTGATATTTCCGTATATATATAAGTTTGCGGATACTATGTAGAGGTATTTTTGGGGATATTGGATAGAGATGTGGGGTGTGTGGAGGATGTGTGTTTTATTACCCTTTGAGGGAATTTTAATAAAGAAAGGGAGTTGAGAGGGAATTAAGTAGTAATAAAACCATTATGTTTAAATAAATAATCAAAACACGAGATCGATACAACGTCAATGTCAGATTTCTTATTTATATTTGTATAAACAATTTATTATTATCGCGATCAATATCGCTATTATGAAAAGTACGTAGGTATAGGTAGGTATGTAGAATATAGACTAGAATACATTAGAGCGTCCTCTGCGGTACTGTGTAGTATAGTTGGTATCTCTCGCTCGAAAAAAGGTACAAAGAATGAAAGGAAATATCGTTGCGGTCGTGTCATCATAAGTTTTCTTCCTCGCTCTCATCTCATCCCACCTTCACCAACAAACTCAACATCCATCCACTCCATCCCCATCCTCACACACCAGAACTAGAAAACCCTAGTATCAACCGCGCCTCTGCCAAAAATGTCTCTTAGCAGGCCTCACACCCCCAACATAACCCTTCTCCTCCACAGCTCTACTCCTCTTATTATGCATCCTCTTACTCAAACACGTAACAAACACCACTATTGCGCCCAAAAATCCCGCAATCATCGCCGCCAAAATACACCAGATCCCCACGCTAAAATACGCATGACTACCGCTTTTATCGCCATTCACATGATTTTTGATGATTCCGAATAGTACGAAATCGCATGCCATGGCTACCACTGAGATGATGAATGCGACGCCTGAGACGAGCGCAGCGAGGAATGAACCGATGAATCCAGCGCCGAGGGCGAGGAGGAAAGCGATAAACATTACGCCGCAGGCGATGGGGTGGAGTATCATTACCCGGGTTAGGGCTTTCGATGTATCTTCGGAGGCGTGGCTGAAATGGGTGGATTCGATATGGGACATTATGGAAGCGGGGTTGTAGCCGATGTGTTTTTTGGTGCAGTAATCATTACCGTCTCTATTGATTTGTTAGTATAATTTATTCAACTTTGTTCATGTTCAAAGTGTTATATTATCTCGCACCAGCGAGTAGATGAGAGGTGGAAGAATAATTAAATGAGAAAAAGATAGAAAGAACTTACGAATCGACATCTAAAACACAGTATCCGAATGTACCAAATGAGACCACGGAATGGTGTGATGCAGTTCCATTGGTCAATTTGACTTTCATGATTCCGATATCATTGAGAACAGGTGCGGAGATGGTTGTTATGAGGAGGAGGATAGCGGATGCGAAGAGTAGGAATGTACCAATATGATGAAGGAAACCGGTCGCCCCCATTTTGAGAGATTGTGAGGTTGGTATTGAAATGTGTAGTGTTTATGGTGTCTCTGATATTATTGATTGAGAAGTATTTGAAGGCGTTTGAGGAGAGATGGGTGTATGGACTGTAAGTAAACACGTCGAAAAGTCAACTTGACTTGTAGTCAGTCTCTGAATTAATTGTAGAATGTCAATTGGAGAATGGAATATGGAATAGAAAAGAGGGATCTTTAAGCTTTAATAATAAAGGACATTCTTATCGATTCCCAGGAAAGTGACATACACAGTGAGTGGTGCATGCGTTGGCCGCATATCTTGATTTGAGGCATCTTGGAAAAAATGAATGCAACAAACAGGAAAAATAAAGTTTTCCAGGGTCAACAGGGGCTGATTGGTTTTGGTTGGTGCATCGTCATAGCTTCGCGTCGGTGATGTATTCTGGACCAAGGGAGAACGGTGAAAATTGATTGAAGCGAGGTTATTGAAGGGAATATAGAAGATTATTAAGCATCATAATTTTTGATAAAGTTTAATTCTGTCTCCCAACCTAGTAGGTAACTTTGTCGTCTGAATCGGAGGAATTTGACACCCGACGCCAATTATGTCATACTATTTTAGCAGATACCGCGGACAAACAAGCCAAGCGGAAGCTTATGTTTCGGGTAGTGCAAAAAAGGGTTTGAACTTTCTTTCTTTCCTACTGTCAGTTTGTTCTGTATATGTAAAGTATATCTTCATTGCTATTATTTTATCCAACACCAACGCTCACCAACTTTTACACCATCATATAAACAATCCCTTTCACGTGACTTGCAATTGGCGTGCCACGCGTACAAGTGCCCCTGTAAGGCTGTACCATAACCGACCCTTAATCACTAAATGACGTAGTACTTTCAAGGGTCTTCAGGGTCATAATCAAGGTGTGACAGTGTCCTTTGATGTGCATTTTAATTCTCGCTCTTGATTTGTCCAGATACTCTTAATTTTAAAAAAGGAATTAAAAAATACATTAGTCTATCTATTTTCTTATTCCTGACTCATTCTTTGAAGCCAAAGCGTCTGGCCAAGTAGTATGACAGCATGTTCTGCTTGTTGTCGCACTTGCACGGCCTCCACTCTAGACATGTGCTACGATTTGCTGAACTACGAACTACGAACTACGAACTACAAAGGAAAACGAGGCCTTATGAAGTGGATGGCCTTATATTCTCTTGCTTGCAGCACGAGTAGTTGTACACTGTATCTGAGTTTTATTTGACACTTGGTATCTCGGTAGATACCTATGATATAGCCCACGCCAGCCTGTCGAAATCAACCACAACACAGTGGTTGATGATGGCTAGAGGATGGGCACGGGAGCCGTAAGGAATTCACCCGAAAGTAGGAGTATGTTGATACGAAGGACTATAAAAATAGTATAATTGAAACGTTCCCCGGCGCCGTCCACCGACCAATGTCCACCGACTCAAAAAACTGCCCGTTACATTTCACGTGATCTATATGTATGCTTCAATAAGTAACAAATGTTTATTGTCGGCTTGCCGACACCAAAACCTTACTGTATGCGAGGTTTACTTGATGTAGATGATAGAAAATGAGAAACTCACTTAAATGAATCGCGATCTTGATAATCTGATTGGTCTAAAATACCCTGGTAAATAATCTAACAAGAAGTTCGATATAAACCTTATAACTTCAAACAAATCTGATTTAGAATTTTTTTTAATTCTATTAAAATTATTTAACTTTATTAAAATTATTTAATTTAATTTATAATTCAATTTTATTTATTCAATTCAATTCATTTTATTTAATTTATAATAATAATAATAATAATTATCAATTTATCAATATCAAAATTTTATTATATATATAATATATTATAATTTATTTAATATAAATTATAAAAAATAAAAAACTAATTTAAATAAATTGTAATCTTAATAATTTAATAAAAAACTTGATATTAAAGGTTTGTACCTTTTAAACCTTTAACTTTTTGAAATAATCTAATGAAAATTTAAAGTTTAAAAAGTTTATAATAAATTTAAATATTAAATATATATATCATGATTTATAATTAAGATTATAATATATTGAGAGGCAATAATCAATCTGTTTATATAAGTTTAAACCTTTTTGAAAAACAAAATAACTTATTGTAACAATCTGATCGAGGCAGCGGCTGTCTGAGATTTTGTATAATTGATAGTTGTAGATTAAGACTAATAATCATTAGTTATTTATTTAAAGATGAATATATTATTAGATCAATTGGAATATAAATAAACTAATTGATAATTAAATTGAATATAAAATTCCCAAATTATAAAATTATTCTAATTATATATTAATGAATATAAAGAAACTTTGTAAAGCTTTAAAACTTTAAAAAACTTTTAAAGCTTTAGAAGCTTTTAAAACTTTTAAGGCTTTTTATTATATAATTAGAATCAAACTATATATCCGAGCTTGTTAAAAGTGAGGAGATTATATAAAGCGATTATTATACAAATTTATATACAATTCGCTTTACTTTTTAAGGAGGTCCAAGTTTATATAGATAGATTGATTATTGTCTTTCAATATATTATAATCTCAATTGTAAATTGTAACACTTGTATACAAATTTATATAACAATCGCTTTATATAGTTTCTTTACTTTCAATAAGCTCAGATATATAATTTGATCTTAATTATATAATAAAAAGCTTTAAAAGCTTCGAAAGTTTTTAAAATTTTAAAAGTTTTTTAAAACTTTAAAGCTTTATAAAGCTTTTTTATATTCATTAATATATAATTAAAATAATTTTATAATTTAAAAGTTTTATATTTAATTTAATTATCAATTAGTTTATTTATATTCGAATTGATTTAATAATAAATTCATTTTCAAATAAATAATTAATAATTATTAATTTTAACTTATAATATAATGATCTAATCGAGGCAGTGATTGCCTGAGGTTTTATATAGTTAGTAGTTGTAGGTTAAGATTAATAATTATTAATTATCTATTCGAAAATGAATATATTATTAGATTAATCAGAATATAAGTAAATTAATTGATAATTAAGTTGAGTATAAAGCTTTTAAATTATAAAACTATTCTGATTATATATTAATTTCTTTTTTTGTATATTAATTATATTAATTGAATTAATATAATTAATATTCTTGTAATACTAGCTTTGTTAATTTGATTAATAAAGTTAGTATATTATATAATTGAGAATTAAATTATATATTCAAGTTTATTAAAGATAAAGAGATTATATAAAATAGTTATTATATAAATTTATATACAAATTACTTTACTTTTCAAAAAGATTTAAGTTTATAAAAACAAATTGATTGTTATCTTATAATATTCTATAAAATGATTTTGTAATATTATTCTTTTCTTAACTAAGTATTGTTTTCGATTGTTTATAAGATTTTGAAAAGAAATATTATTCTTTGTATAGTTTATATCGAATATTTCTTTTTCATTATATTATTTATTTGTTCTTAATTTTATATCGATTATAAAACTTTTGAATGAGAAATCAATTTGATTAGAAAAAAAATAATTCTTTGTATTTGTTATAAAAATACTAATATCGAATATATTTCTTTTTATAATATTAAGTATTATTATTGTAGTTATTATATTTCTTTTAATAAATTATATAATACTTATAAATTAAACAAAATACTTTTTATTTTTAATTAGGAAGTTATCAATGTTTAAATTGAGTATATAGATATTGAGAAGGATATTCTTTATCGATATTAGTGTAACGATCTGGTTGAGGCAGTGGCTGCCTCAGGTTTTCGTGTGATTGGTAGTTGTAAGAGTTCTGGAAACTTCTAACTATACATTTTACCGAGAAATAACTGTAATTTTATTTTCAACTTTCAATTATAAATAATTCATCAAAATTCGAATTTTTAATATTTTCTATTCAAATTCAAAATTGTTGTCAAAATTCAAGATGAAAATGATAATTATAAATTTTATCAAAATTGGGGTACTTCTTGTAAAGCTAGAATCTTTCAGGTTAGGGAGAATAGAAAATCGTGATCTTGAATCAAACAAAATTTAGGTGTATCTCGAAGTATTGTAAAAGGTATTATTAAATCGAATTCATTTAGAATTATTTGTAAAGGGAAGGTATATTGATTCTTTATAATGATAATTAAAGAGATTCGATGAATTATAAGGGAATTGATAAAAGATTGAAGGGGAAGAAGGATGATTTTTGAATAGATGAAATATATGCTAAGGGTTAAGGTTTCGATATGTATTATTCGATATGAATTATATTAGTATGGTTATAAATATTGTATAATTTACTTTAGGTTATTTATCTTTAGGAAATAAGTAAAAAAGAGGTTGGATTTTGTATATATATATTGTTGATAGGGGATAATCGATGTAATTTTCGAAAAGTTTAAGAGGGGTGATTGAAGGAAAGTTATATAATCGAATGAAAGTATTTTCGAGGTTGGAAAATGTAGTAGGATATAAATAATTTGTAGGATTGAAGAAAAGAGGTGTGGGAGTTGTATTAAATTAGTATATAGATTAGGAAGGATTTTTGTAATGATATAGAAGATTTTTGATTGGAATTATAAATCTTTATTAATCTTTTTAAAGAAGAATTTTGATGATAAAGGGGTAAATTTAATAATATATCGAAATCAGATCTTTATTTTTATTATATTCTTTTTATTTGATGAACTAAGGTTTGAATATATATTTATAAAGGATAATGTAAAGGTTTATTTGAAATATATTAGATTAGTTTGATTAAAGTATAGTATTAGAGGTTTTCAATAGTCTTTCTTTTTTTCAGATCTTAATCCAATTGAGAAGGTATAGTGTTGAATAAAAGAGAAGTTAAAAAAACTATTATTTGTATTTACTTTTATTGAGGAATTGAAAAGGGAGTTTAAAAGGTTGTGAGAGATATTTGATTCTTTAAATTTCAGATTATATATTGAGAAATTGATTTATAAATTAGAGGATATAATTGAAGTAAAAGGATTAACTATTATTCATTAATATATTATCAGATTTTCAATAAAAAATATTGTAGTGTTGATTTAATATTAAATTTTCAAAAGTGTAGGTGAAATTTAAAAAGGGTGTGATGAGTAATGATTAGAACTCTTAGATTAAGATTAATAATCATTGATTATTTATTTGAAGATGAATATATTATTAGATTAATTGGAATATAAATAAATAAATTGATAACTAAGTTGAGTATGAAGCTTTTAAATTATGAAATTATTCTGATTATATATTAATAAATATAAAGGAACTTTATAAAGCTTTA